CTGGTCTATTGGAGATGGGTGGCTGGGCCAGGTTTGTTGGGAGTGCCAGCTCTGGTAACCAGAGTGAGAGAGAGAAAGAAAAACAAAATGCCTCAAAAGAGGCAGGCTCACACCATCTGAGTCTGCTTTTCTATGAATGCCTCCTTGCCCCCAAGAATATTACAAACTTTTCAGGGCAGGAATTAAGTCACACATGCTCACACACACACATGCACACAGAAACATACACACACATGTATACAAACACAGGCACACATGCACACATAAACAGACACACATACACATATGCACAGATACACAAATGCACATATGCATAGGCACACACACACACTTGCACACAAACACACACCTGCACACAGGCAGAAACATGCATATACACATAGACACACACAGAGAGACCACAGATACAAATAGACACACACACATACAAACAATTTTTGTTTTTTTTAAGTTTTTTGCTTTTGTTTTATGTTCCAGAGGCTACATGAGTAAGATAAAATTGAACAGCCAGGGATGGGAAGCCCACACCAGGACATTTCCAGCTTCACAAGCTGGGCATGGTGGGTGACCCCCACAGACTGCAGGTACACAGAGCTGAGTATACGTCTAACACTGAGACAGAAAGGCGCCAGGTCAGGCCAAGGGAACTCCTCAACACACATCAAGGCCCCTGACCTTGCCCAGGCCACTCTGTTTAACGAGGATATTGAGTAACAACTCTCTCATAAAGATGGAGTGAAAGTGTTCTCCAGCTCTGCGTGTTTATGCCGCTGCTATATGGTGAAGAGACCTGATTCAGGCCATGCAAACTCAGAGGCTGCCCTCAGGATTAAGGAACTGAAGTAGCCAGAAGTCAGGCTTTTACTGAGCCCAGGGAAACCAAGTTTCCCACAATTAAAAAGTTCAGCTGAGGTTGGGAGCTACTAGGAAAGTGTGAAGTCCTCAAAGCACAGAGCCTGGACTGGAGGTCAGATTCCCAGGGCACTCTGGAATAAAAATGACTAAGAGTTAGCTACAAGGTCACTACCGATTCATTAGAATGTATTGTTGACAGTGGACTTGAACGCTTTTCAGAGTTCTGTTCAGAAGAACCTCCAAACCTGTGGTCCCTAGAAATCATCTCCTCTGTCCTGGAGCTCAGATTATTCAGATCCAAAAAGAGCTCAGAGCCACCTGCCTGATGACTCTTGGAAAGTGAGGGCCATAAATTAAAGGGAAATTGACTCTCTGTGTTGTACCTTGGGCAAACAAGCAATAACAAAGCCAGATTTGTTTCATCCGTTAGAGAATACGACCGTGTTACCATCTCACGCCTTGGGCACAGCATCGAGACCAAGGCTTCTGTCTACCCACTGCCATTGTGTGAATTTCTATAACCACAAGCTTCTGCTGACCTTCACACAGTAGGTGCTTTGTTACCATTCCCTGCCCCTTGAGCCCAAGCCCCCATGCTTGATGGCTCACCTGTGCACACAAGCAAGACAGGCAGACTTCCTCTCTTCACCAACTGCCTACACGACTTAAGTCTCTTGGCCACCTGACCTCTTCAACGTCTACCCTGCGCACAATGTAGGTCACCGACAATATACTTGCCCTCCAGTATCCCACATGAATTCTCCTCCCAAGATGTCCCTATGTGTTCCTGTTTCTTTCTCCTGATGATCACTTGCTGGGAGAACCAAGCCCTGGGTACAGCTATACTCCTTTCCAGAATCCCAGATCTACTCCGGGGTCATCCTGTAGGGTGGCCACTGCGATCAGATGAGACTCTAAGGACCATGTTCCCCCCACCCACCCAAGAACCCACAGGCAGGTTTTAGATCGTAGTTGCCCTGGTATGAGGTACGCATGAACCACCCTTCTTCATGACCAGGTCCACTACACTTGTGGCCTCATGTAAAGGCTCCCCAAGCTGGCCTTTGCACGTCTCAGCTCTTGGGATCATGATGCTCCTGAACTCGTCCTGGGACAGCTTGGGGTGGAGAGCTAGGGAGTATTCTAGAAAGTGTGGAGAAACCTGCACAAGCAAGGTTTAGCGATTTCAGCCTTCAGGACAGTTAGGGGAACAATTGGGTGAGCAACGGTGGATGGAAAAGCTTCCCCACATGCTCTGTGGGAGTTCTTCTGCCCATCCCCAGATGCCTCCTTTGCCTTGCTCCCCAGCAGGGCCAGTTTCAGGAACCCAAACTGACCAGCCACTTGACTGCCTAGTCGCCCTTCCTTTCCTCCTTACTGCCCAGGGTTGGGCTGACCAGGAGTTCCCAGACACAGAACTTTCTGCAGAGCTTACAAAAAACTCTTGGTTCCCACTTTCAGGGCTTGATGAGTACTCAGAACCAGAGGAATACCTCATGCTAAGGAACCTCCCCCTCACTCCTCATCTTCCTAAGCTCCTCAATGCTTAAATGCAAAGAGTGAAGTAGTCAACTAGATTCTTGATTTCTATTTCATGGTAGCTCCTGGGCTCAGGGTGAGCTCATTGCTGGGAGCGACCCTCTCAGACTACGAAAAAGTTGGTACTGGAATACCATATTTCATATACCCAGGCTTCATCACCTGCAGAATAACCACACACGTGTCTGTCACTCATGACCCTATAATCCAGGATTCAGTCTTCTGGCCCATTAAGTAACACCCAGGCCTGGTCACTGTGGGGCTGCAGAAAGAGATGAGGCTTTGGGGTTAGGAAGCATGGCAGCCTGGCTCCAGACATCTGAGGTACCAAGATTTTCTAGACTTCATTCTTAGTTTTCATCTCTACTTTTTTTGACTTGCCGCCACACTGTGACCTCAGGACTAAGGGGAGGAAAAAAGAATTGAAACTCTTTGTAGGTAGATGGTCAACAAAGCCTCTTGTACACACCTTTGCCTGAGAGCACAATGCTTACAGGATTGACCACTGAGGTCGGCAGCCTTTGTTCTGCTTCCCTGATTCTGCCCTTTAGATTCCGTAGGGGCACCAGACGAGCTACCTAGCCTTTGCATCAGACTCGGGGTGAGGTGAGGCAAACGGGTTATAAAGAACTCGTTAGGTGTCCACACCACAGTGTGCAGCTATTGTACCAGTGTGGTCAAACTTCCTCCTCCAGTGATAACAGGGCCACTGGCAAACAAATTCTCTACACTTGGCTCCCAGATCTTTCAGCTGGAAAGCCCACAAAGGTGTGTGTGTGTGTGTGTGTGTGTGTGTGTGTGTGTTCCTGTGCACATGCACATTTAGGATCAAACCTGGGAATGAGCTGAGAACATAGACCAGACATGCCTGAAAAGACCAGACTGAGATATGAGTCCCAGCTTTCTGTAAGCAGTCCCCAGCTCTTGAGAACACTCCTCAATTCTTGCACTTGGTCTCCTGTCTTGATGACACTCCAGTTTTTTTCCCTCTTTCTTCCTTCCTTCTCTCTTTAGTCAGGGTCTTACTGGGTAGCCGTTGATGGCCTTGACCTCACGGAGTGCCAGATATGCCTGCCTCTACTTCTCAAGTTGTGGAATTAAAGATAAGTCTCACCACACCTGGCTTTTGAGTTTTCATTCTTACGTCATACGAAGGTCACTGGAAGAAGTCCCCCAAGCACCTCTTCAGTAGAAGCACGGGAAAGGTGAGGAATAGGTCACCTTGCTTACCTGGAGGTCCTTCAACACCCACTACCGCAGTAGCTTAGCAGCCTAGGACATTTTATCCTGTGTCCCCAGTGAAACTGCCCAACCCCCAGCTTTCCTACTAGGAAGGAAACTTGTTAACCTCACTTGCAGAACTTCTCCCCTCCTCCTGAGTCAGGTAAACAACCCCCACCTCACTTTGGATTTTCAGAGCACCTTGTTAGGTGCCCTTTGGAACTTTCCACAATGCCTGGCTCTTGCCGGATAGAAGCTGAAGGAGCCAGCACTGGATGGCTTGTCTTAGCTACAGGACTTAAATATTTGCATGCAAGATCTTCAAACCCAAACCTTGTAGGGTCCCTTGCTTTCCAAGTCCACCTAGGGCTGCCATGTTTGCTTTCTCCTAAACTAGCTGCCAGAGGATATGCGCTCGGGACAGAATTAAGGGATATGGGAAAGGGCCCGGGCTCTCAACAAGCAAAAGCACAGCCACAAGGCACACACACCCTCCGAGGCATGAACACACAAACTTTCAGGCAGTGGGACAGTTCGTTTCTTCAGCTGGGCTATCGGGTCCTCTCACACAGCGTTCACTGCCTAGCTGTCCAGTTGGGTCACTCTGCCACCATCCCAAGTCCCACCCGATAAGAGATACACGTGCTCGGGTGGTCAGCCTTCTCCTGAATGGGCAGCTCGCCCCCTGGCAGCCGGGCCGGCTTCTCCAGTGCCAGCCCTTCCAGGGCCCGCTCCAGTGAGTGCTCAGGGCCAAGGCGGCCTGGTCCGCAACATCGACCCGGGCCACCGCACCGGACCGCTGGAATACTCCCTTCCCCCAGCTGGCGGGTGGTTCGCGTCTTGACAGGGTCCCAAGGGCCCCGCAGCGCCGCCTGTATCGGTCTTCTGCATCTCAACCAGTTTCCAGTTTCTCTCCACCTCGGTAGGGACCAAGGAGCGGAAGGAGTTCAGGTAACCAGCCGGACCGCAGAGATTTTCCCGAAACAAAGAGAACTGCGGACGAATCTCTGCATCTACGTCCTAGGAAGGGACTGGTGATAGGAGCCAGGAGCCTGCTCCACCGAAGGACCCCACCTCCAGAGACCCTCTTCTCCAATACATAAACTAGGGGCCGGCAGGACCATAAACCAAGCCGCGAATCTACGGAGCCACCTGGGGTCTCAGTCACTGGATCTGGGTCTCCAGGTCTCCTCCCAGTCCCCAGAACGTGCGCCGGGTCCGCTCAGTCCCAGACCGTCGCACCTGTCGCGCCCTGGCCTCGCCTAACCTACTGTTCCCCAGACGCCCCAGCCGGGCACCGTCGGGTGGACCCAAATCACCCTCATTTCACCTCCCAGGCAGGGACCCAGTGTGGAGACCACGAGCTTGTCCCGCCTGCTGCTCACCTGCTGCGCTTCCCGCCCCTCTCCGCCTGGGCCCAAGCTCTGGATTTCCTCGTCCGTCCCAAGTCCCCCGATCTCCCCCAGCTCTTGCTTAAATCTCCGGAGGCGGCGTCCTAGACTTAGGCAACACCCCTAAACGCAGGTGCCCGGTCACCTCGGCCAGGAGGAGGGGACGATCGGGAGCGCCTGTCCCGGGGAAGGAGGAGGAGTTTCCCCGAGGGAAGCCCAGGGCGCGCTCCTCCCCCACATGGCGGGACCAAAAGAGACCAAAGGCATTTCCCTGGCAGCGACCCGCCTCCGTAGCTGCGCACCCTCGAGGGCCAGGCCCATAGGACCGTCAGGGTACCGGCGCGACACCGTCCTTGGACTGCTGTGTGAATTAACGGGGAAGACCTTAAGGGAGCGCTAACCCGGCCCCCTGGAAGCCCGGGAGCTGCTGGTTCACAGTCCCAGCAGGCTCTCTTCTGCGGACACCAAGGAGGCCTCTGTGACAGGACCCAGTTGGCAACATCACCTCTAAAGCGTAGGTGGCTCAGCTCCCAGGCTAAAGACCCTCCCTAGTGTGCCCAGACTTTCCTACGGAAGAAAATACCTTGGATTTTCCTCACCTACTCCACCCACCAAACCCCCAGCACCCAAAGTCCCCTGGGAAGCTTCCAGAGGCAATGGGACGTTGCTTGTACCGAGGGTGGGGCAGAAATGAGGCAAGGGATGCGCTCTCTGAAGTCTCTAAGACCCGGTCTTCCACTACTTCAGGTGACCAGCAGTCTCCTAAGCTGCTCTCCGAGACGAGCCAGAGCTGTTGATTTTGTAGAACTGAAGAAGACACTGGAGAAGCCCAGAATAACTGCCCCTTTTGTAGGGGGGCAGTTCACAACCACAAAAACCGTCCTCTTTGTAAAGGTGTCTTGTCTGTGCCGGAAAGAGAGCTGCTCTATGACACGTTTATCCACCCAATCTTTCTCTCCAGGCTTTTCCCCCAAGCACATTCCCATTTATCTCCACAGACCCATAGCTTGCCTCCACAACCCACACAGGCAGCAAACCCTATTTCTCTGTAGAACCTCGTAGAGAATATAAGGTTAAGCCCTGGACAATCTCACAGTCTCAGACTGATTTTTACACTTTGAGACAAGGTCTCACTGTGTAGCCCTGGCTGTCCTGGAACTTGCTATATAAGCCAGGTGGGCCAGCCTCTGCCTCCCACACGCTGAGATAAAAGGTGTGCAAAGTTAGAAGGGCACTGGAGGTTGAGAACTTTACAGGATTCTCCTCCATGTTCACATGAATTAAAATGATTTTTCTCCTGCTAATCTGTTGTGCCCATTTAAAGACTAGACCCCTTCTCAAAAAAAAAAGTGATATGAGCACTTTCCCACTTTGGTAACAGGCACTCATGAAGTATTGCCGTCCTAAAACTCTGGTTACACCTACACTGCACACAATTCATCACGCGTTGCTTTCACTCAAAACACAGGCAGAACGTTAGAACCATGCCCACCGTGGTTGTCAGGCCCTGTGAGCCCTTCCTGCTTCCCTGGTACTTTGTCCCCTCCCCTCCTCAGTTGTCCTTTCTGGAAAGGTGCTTAGCAGCGTGTTCCTAGGGGTGTATGTGTCTGGAAGAGATCAGCCCTACACCTGGTGTACTTGAGGCAGGATAGATAGAGAGGAAAGAGAAGGGAAAAAACGCCCCTTCTTCCAGGGTATGATGGATCGATCTCTCCAACCTGTCAAGAATTCCAGCACCCTTGGCATCTGCTTTGTATACTGCCAGAGTACAGTCGATGTGCCTTTTACAGGAAGGTATTTCAAATAAGAATGTGAAAAGAGCAATGAATCATGCTTGGAGTCTGAACATGTGCTGCCTTATTCCTTTCCCAGATGCAACCCTCACAAATACGACAATAGATGTTAAAAACATCTTGACTTCTGTGCAATCTTCTGACCTTATCTCATTTGACCTTTTGAGTGGAACTCCAGAAGTCACTAAAATTGTCTGTATGACTGTTGTAAAAATTCTTAAGCCTGTCACTCTCTGAGAAGCCACACCCATTCTCGAGTGCTTTATTGCGCCTTCCTTCTGCGTGCTCTTCTCTTGTGCCTCAGGTAGAGTCTCACATAACCCAGGCTGACCTGGAACTTTTTTGTTGTTGTTTTGTTTTTTCGAGACACGGTTTCTCTGTGCTGCTGGTTGTCTTACAACTCTTTCTGTAGACCAGGTTGGCCTCAAACTCAGAGATAAGTCCACTTCTGCCTCCCAAATTCTTGGATTAAATGAACATGCTACCACACCTGGTTTGTGACCTTGAGTTTATGATCCTCCTGCCTCAACCTCCTTACTGCTGGGATTACAGGTCTGCACCTCCACCTTGCACTACATCCGCAGCCCGCAGCCCTAAGGAAGTCTCTTCACTAAAAACACAAAACAAAACAACTGTATGGCTCATCCTGAAAGTCTTTTCAATAGCAAAGTCAAGACTGCTGGCTTCAACTGAGTGACTGAGTAGAAGTCCCTGAAAAGAACTCCTCGGGGAGGCTGGAAAATGGCTGAGCACTTGCTGCCAAGACTGAGACCTGGAGCTTGATTCCTAGAAGCCATGTGATGGGAGGGGAAAACTGAGTCCTTAAAGTTGTCCTCTGACCTCCACATGCACACTAAAACACACAAATAAATAAAAATAATAAAATCAGTCACTATCGGCGGCAGCATGGAGCGGCGTCACCCTGTTAATAACAAACCGAATGAAGCAGATAGCCCTCCTCAGTGCCATCAAGTCTGGAGGGCATTGGCCCAGGTGTGTCACTGCTGTGCACTCCAGAGAACTCATTCTCCTGAACATAGGTCAAGTCTTTGGTGACGACTCACTTCCATTTTGATAGTGTGTTGAGGGCTTCCAGCCGTGACTCCTAATCCCACCTATATGCAGCTAGTTGGTGTGGGACAATGGTCTGTATTCTGTCAATTATATTTTAAATAAACACTGATTGGCCAGTAGCCAGGCAGGAAGTATAGGTGGGACAACTGGGCAGGAAGTAGAGGCAGGATGATGAGAACAGGAGAATTCTGGGAAGAAGAAAGGTTATTCTGCAGTCCTGACCCAGCCACAGAAGAAGCAAGATATGACTCTCCTACTGAATAAGATACTGAGCAATGTGGCTAACTCAGACAGGAATAATGGGCTAATGTAAGTTATAAGAGTTAATAAGAAGCCTGAGCTAATGGGCCAATCCGTTTATAACTAATGTAGACCTCTGTGTGATTTCTTTGGGAATTAACAATTGCAGGAACCGAGCAGGACAGAAAACCTTAGTCAACAGCTAGTGTGTACACTTAGCTCTCACCCAACACCCATTTCCCCCTGGATATCACTAGCCATGGGTCTTCAGGGAAACAGAAGAAGGGGAGAATATTGAAGAGGCTTATTACCAAGAATTGGTTCATGATTTTGAAAGTGAGATGTCCTATGGTCTGCAAGCTAGAGTGATGGGAAGCTTGTGTCGTAGCTCAGAGACCTGGGACCAGAGAACAGATGGTGCAGAGCCCAGTCTGCAACTGAAGGTGAGAAATCAGGCACACTCAGGGGTGGAGAATAATCCCATCCAGCTGAAGCCTCCTCCACCACTGGTTCTCCTACTCAGAACATGGACAAACTAGATGATCCTGGGGTTAAATCTGATCTTCTTCATTCAGTTTTAACACGAACCTCTCCCTTGATTGGTCATCTTGCAGCCTTGCCAACTCACTGGGTGGAGGTTAGCCATCACAAGTCTGCCCACACCAATGACACAACCAAGTTGGTCTCCCTCAACCATATCGTCTTCCTGAATAAAGACCACGTGAGGTTATAATTATACAGAACCTGAAAAAAAGCTGACCTGTACACAACTGAAAAGGTGCTGACTCTTTTCCCAGAGGGCACAGAGTTTTCTATGATATCTCTGCTCCTATGACCCTCCCCACAGTTTACATACTGTGGTGTTAATGCAGTGCTTACAAATACAATGATATGAAGTCAGTTCATCGTGTATGTGTGCCACATGGGTGTATATGCAGGTAGAGGCTAGAGGAAAGAAAACCTTAAGGATTCTTCCTCAAACAACATCTAACTTTTATTATTTTTTTATTTGAGATAGGGCCTCTTGCTGACCTGGAACTCTAGTAGGCTAGGGGGCTGGTCAGCAAGTCCTAGGGATCCTTCTGCTTCCCCCAGTATGGGGATTGCAAGTATATACCACCATGCCTGCTGTTTGTTTGTTTGTTTGTTTGTTTGTTTTACATAGTTCTGGGAACCAAACTTAACTCTTTATGCTTGAAAACAAGTTCTTAACCACATCAGCCATCTCATTAGTCTGAAAGTCAGTACATCTTATCTTATGTATATATGGGGATAAATAAGGAACGAAATGGATAGATGATAGATAGATAGATAGATAGATAGATAGATAGATAGATAGATAGATAGATGATAGATATGATAGATTGATAGACAGACAGACAGATAGACAGACAGATAGATGATAGATAGATAGATGATAGATAGATAGATAGATAGATAGATAGATACACATATACATGGAGATAGATTTACACAAAAGAAGTATTCAAAACAAAATAAGGTGTGCATATTCATAATAACTACAATGCCCCTTTCCATACAGGCTAAGTGGACTGAACTTGTATTTTTAACTATCTTCTTTCATTACCTATTCTGTGTTCCCTATGCCTTCTTCAAGCACCTGAGTTAGCTATGATGGGTTACCTGGTGGGGTAACATGCTCCTTCATTCCAGAAGGGTCTGGGCTGTTGGGAGTGTTCCTGAATTGGGTTGCTAAAATTTCCATTTCCCTTAATTACAAGCATGATAAAATGAAGAGAACCCCTAAGAAATGGCCAGCATTTCAGAAAAGAGTCCTTCCCTTCATGGTGCCACAATAGTATCCACTCACCAGGATTGCAACTCTCTTCTTAGCTTGTCTCCCCAAGGCGGCCAGGTGACCCTCTTCACTTCTAGTTGAATGGAAATTCTGTCTCCCAATAGGAGCATCTGCCCTATGGAATAAAGTCCCCTGGGATAGCATAGCATAAAGTGGAAGGATCAGGAAGCAAAGATATTTTGAGTGGCTCGCTGGATATAACAGTGGCTGGTGCCATTCCTGTTTCCACCCCCTTGATTCCTGGATCAGTGAATCCTGCTTGTGAAAGAAGTAGCGCTGTGTACTAGATCCTGATTCAGAACACCCACAGCCTCCTGAAGAGTCCTGCCACAGCTCTACAAGACATTTCCCCCTGGCTGGAACTGTAACTACATCTTCAAAAGGCCAGTCTACCGCTCTGCCCTGCCAGCTGCCTTGGGATGGCAGGAATGAGGCACAATGAGTGAATTTCATGAGCCTGGGCCCATGACTTCACTTCATTGACTCTCAAGTGAGTTCTTTGTAGGAGCAACACTGTGTGGAATGCTATGAGAGTGGCCAAGACACCCTGTTAGTTCCAAGACAGCAATTCCAGCAGAAGTGCTGCATACATGGAAGGCAATCTATAGCTAGATTGTCTGTTCTGGTATAACAAAGCACTGGCCCTTTCAGGATGGAAGTGGTCCAGTTAACTTAAACTGGTGCCAGGGCACTGGCTGACCATCTTGGGGATTAATGTCATGACAGTGAATCTGCTGCTGACAAGTTGGGCACCCAGAGGTAGGTTTGGCCAGTTCTGTTTTTGTCATTGAGTCCAGGCATAAATTTAATCTCTGCCACCATGGTTCTATTGCTCATGAATTCATCAAGTGGCTGGGGGAAGTAGCTGGTTGGTGTCTACGGGATAGACCATCTTAATCTTGAGTATGAAAATCTCCCTCTCCTGAAATCATTTTTAGTGAGCATTCCATGTGTTATTGGGGTTTTTTTTAGCACTTTATAGCATTTAGTCACAGACCTGTTACCAAAATTTCCTTGTCACTCATCTTTAAATTATAAGCCTTACCATTAATCAAAATATCGATTGCAGGTCATGAATTAGTATGCAATCAGATCTGGCCATCTCTTCTTCATCCTTCTCCTTTTCCTCGTGTGTCTCATGTATGGCAAGCAAACATGTGTGTGCACGCTTACAGATGTATGGGTGCACATATGTGTGCAGTGAATATTACATGTACACGCATGCATGTAGGGGCTCAGTGGTTAAGAGCGTGTCTCAGTTAGGTTTTCTACTGCTGGGATAAAACACCTTGACCTCTGGGAGGCAAGGGTTCATTTCAGCTAACAGTTTATAGTTCATCATCCAGAGAAGTCAAGGCAGGAACTCAGTGCATGAACCTGGAGGCAGGGGCTGATGCAAAGCATGTGAAGGAATGCTATTGGCTTGTTCCCCACAGAATTCAGTCTGCTTTCTTACACAATCTAGGATCTTCATCCCACGATGGGCTGAGCCTTCCCACTTCAATCACTAATTAAGAAAAAGTCTCATAGACTTGCCTACAGACCAGTCTTATGAAAGTGTTTCAATTGCGGCTCCCTCTTGGTGGATAACTCTAGCTTTTGTCAAGCTGACAAAATAACTAACCAGGACTGAGCAGATCCCCCTCTTGCAGAGGATCCAATTTCCAGCACCCAGGTCAGGGGGCTCACAATCATCTGTAAGTCCAGTTCCTGGGACTTTAACATTACCCTCATCTGGCCTCCATGGACATGGCACTCATGTGCACAAGCCTATACACAAACACCCATGTATATATATAAAATTAAAAACAAAAATCTTTTTTTTTAAAGATATAATTCTTTTTTATTTTTAAAACAATCTTATTTTACATATCAATCCCAGTTCCCTCTCCCTCCTGTCCTTCCACTCTCCCCACCTTCTCCTCACCCCACCCCCATCCACTACTCAGAGATGATGAGGCCCTCCATGGCGATTCAATGAAGTCTGTCACATCACTTGACATCACAGGCCCTCCTCCCTGTATGTAAGCTGAGCAAGGTATACCTCGTTAGGGAATGGACTCCAAAGAGCCAACTGTTTCTACTGTTTCTATGGCTAGTGGTCCACCAACTGTCCCTAACATATAACTGTCACCCTCATCCAGAGAGCCTAGTTCAGTCTTATGCTGTTTCTTCAGCTGTCAGTCTGGGATCAGTGAGCTCCCACTATCTCAAGTTGGCTGCTTCTGTTGGTATCCCCATCTTGATCTTGACCCCTTTGCTCATAATGTTGCTCCTCCCTCTCAATGACTGGACTCCAGAAGTTTGGTCCAGTGCTTATCTGTGGATCTCTGCACCTGCTTCCATTAGTTACTGGATGAAGGTTCTATGATGACAATTAAGGTAGTCATCAATCTGGATTACAGGGGAGTTTAGGTGCCCTCTCCACTATTGCTTAGATTCTTAGCTGGGGTCATCCTTGTGGTTTACTGGGAGTTCCCCTAGTGCCTGGTGATGTGGGAGTGATTTTTTTTTTGATCTGTTGTTTTTATTGCATATTGATCTAACCCATTTTCAATATGCTACACAGAATATTAGAAATGGGTTAGATCAATATGTAAGAGCTAGCCTATAAGAGGCTGGAACTAATGGGCCAGGCAATGTTTAAAAAAATACAGTTTCCATGTAATTATTTCGGGTATAAAGCTAGCCGTGCAGGCGGCCAGGTACCAGGAACGTAGCCCGCCGCTCATATTACAACAGCCTGGTTTTTCACTAAATCCACAATGGCTCCCTCTTTCAAGGTATCTCTTTCCTTGTTCTCCCTCTCTGTCCTTTACTCAACTTTTACTCAACTCAATCTTCTTGATCCCTCATGTTCTCCTCCCTACTCATGTTCTACCCTTCCCGCACCTCTACCACCCTCCCTGCTCTTCTCATGCTGCCAATACTTCAAAGATGCATACCCATACCACAAGGACATTTGCTCAACCATGTTCATAGCAGCATTGAAAAACAAAAATCTTAATAAGTATATTTGGCCTAACATTGCTAAGATGGAAGTTTGCACTTTGGTTTTGATATTAAGCAGCTCCTAGAATCCCACAGTGCTCGTGGTTATGCAAGAGAGTTTAGACCTGGGAAATGGCAGAAGCCTTTCCTAGACATAATGGTTCCAGGAGAATATTTTGCATGTACTAAGGAAAATCTGCAGGTAACTTCTTGAATGGTAAGGATGGGTAAGGTCCCAAATATATACAATATTTCTCAGAAAAATGATTTGTACAAACCTTTACACTCTAGATGTTCCAAAAAGAGAAGGAGTTTTAATATTAAAATGTGCTATTCTGTGGTTAAAGTCAGACATAAGTCCATTGCAAGACGTAAAAGGAAACTGAGCCTTCATTTCCAGCTCAGTGTGTTCACTGTAAAAATAATTACTTTTTATTGAACATGCACTCTGCCAGTTAGCACACTGAAGTTTACACTAGCTCATGGTGAGATAGGTGTATTGACTTCCTTATTCCCCATCAAGGACGTTGGGGTTTAGAGAAGGCACAGAACTTGACATGTACCAGATGGAGCCAAGACCACAGCTGAGGCCACAAGGTAGGAACTGGGATTCCTGGCTCCAGGATTCGAGAAAGGTTCCTTGTTGATATGCTTGATCTGTTCCTAGGGACCGTAAGTCTTCCAGATCCCTTCTGATAGAGAGTCCAACAGGAAACAAGCATGGGGAAAGGATGTTTACGAGGGCATGGGAAGCAATGGTGACAACGAGAGAGAAAGCTCAGGCCACACTCCCTGTCCTCCAGATTCCTCCTTGATCTCAGCTCCTCATGGTGCAATCCTCTCACTAGGGAAGGGCTCTCCCAGGCTGGCTGTAGGGATGACTAAGAACAACTTTTCCCAATACAGATTCAAGGTTGAGGAGAAATAAGTTCACTGCAATGAAGCTCTACTGGGCAAGGGGAGACAATATAATATATTAAGGCCATCATCCCTGCAAAATCCTAGTGAACATTTAGTCCCAACTCTGCTCTCAAGCCATTTCTTTGTCTAGTGCTCGAAGGTGGGGAAGGTTCTCTGGTACTTTCTTCCGTGCATGATACCTTCTTCCTGCTGCCTGGCAAGGGTCTGGGACTGACCTTCAAGTGGGGGGTGCAGGCTTTCCTGGATAGGTGATGCTGATGTGGCAAGGAAGGCTTCTTGGATCCCTGACTGGCTCCCTGAAGACTGGATTACTAGAGTCAGAGTTCTGATCAGACAAGTTCCTTGTGCAGGGAGGATGTGGGGTAAGGGCTGGGGCCTGGCTGGTCCTTTCCAGCTGGTGTTGTGGTACTGAGGCTGAACCTGTTGCAGACACTCTTAGAGGGGCAGTACCTCCTTCAAAGACCTCCTACCCAGCCAGACAAAAGTAGGCCCATGGGCCACCCTTGGCTTTTCACATGTCTGTGGTAGGTTCTTCTCATACTCTTTCTTCTATTCAGCTGCCTTCTTGAACTAACAGGCTTCTCTCTCTGTCACCCTATGTCCCTTGTGTCAGGTATTTAATTGAGAGTAAGAGAGCCCATTTCTCACTTGTGTACAGGCTCTCTTTGTGTGCTGGTCAGTTTTTGGTCATAACCCAGAGCCAGAATAATGGTTCTTGCAATATATCTTCACAACCCCTGAGCCCAGAGACACTCCTCTTTATCTATAACCATGTAGGTTCTCAGCATGACTCCTTCCTTCTTTCTCTTCTATCCTCCCAACAAAACCACCATTACTCCCAGAAAACCCCACCCCCTCAAGTCTACCTTTTCCAGGATCTCTAACCATTTTTGGGAGCTATATCCAATGTTCCATTTATCAAAGCCAAGACTCCAACTGGAACATTTCCACAGGCAGACTAGGGTGACCACACAACCTCTGAGAATAGTGAAAACTTGAAACCAAAAGTGGAATTTCTAATACACTTACTGAAACCAGATTTTCCACAGCAGCACCTAGTAGTCAGGTAGGGTCAGGACACAGTACACCAAACGCTTATCATCATCTTTCATCATGCATCAAGGGGATTTGTCATAGGCTGGGAGTTCCTGTGCTGGGTAGAAGAGAAAAGGGAGCCCATGAGGCTTCTTCCATAGTATAGGAAGCATCTGGGCAGAAGAGGCCCCATAGAGCAGTAGAGAAGTGGTGCCCGGCTTGGTGTCTCAGTGGGCAGGCTTAAGCAAATCCACACAAGGACCTCTACCCCCAACCCCTGCTTCCATGATGCAAAAAGTGAGGAGGATATCACCAGGAGGATGCTTGCGATAGGAGACCGCATGGCAAGCTCTACTTCAGGCTCAGCTGACTATGGAGCAGCTGCAGTTTGCTGCAGCAGGAACTTCTCCACTTCCTTCAGTATTCCACCCTCATGCTTCCGCTGCACTGAACTGTCATGGCTAATGCCTGGGCAGACATGGAATGTATCGGTTGATAAGTCACACAGTTTACCTGAACTGAACACTTCCAGTTTGTTCTACTTTTGGCCATGCATCCTGTTGAGCACAATTTAAATGTGTGTGCACATGTGGATACGTGTGTGAGAGAGAGGGAGAAAGAAGGTTAGGTATACATGTGAGTAAATATGTATACATATATGTAGATTTGCCTTGGTTTTTATTCAAAACAAGTTTTATGTATTTTAGCCAGATTAAAAAAAAAACACTGTTGTTCCTGGGCAGTGGTGGTGCACACCTTTAATCCCAGCCCTCAGGAGGCAGAGGCAGGCGGATCTCTGTGAGTTTGATACCAGCCTGGTGTTTAGAGTGAGTTCCAGGACAGACTGGGACTATACAGTGAGACCCTGTCTCAAAAAAAATGTTATTTGGACTACAGAGATGGTACTGACTCCTCTTCCAGGTAGCCTGGGTTCAATTCCCAGCTCACAACTGTCTCTAAGTCCAGTCACAGGAAATCTGACACCCTTACAGACATCTATGCAGGCAAAAGACCAATACATATAAAATAAAAAATAAATGATTTTTTAAATTGTTTTTATTGAGCTATACATTTTTCTCTGCTCACCTCCCTTCCTTCCCTTCCCCTTCTACCCTCTTCTGTGACCCTCATGCTCCCAATTTACTTAGGAGATCTTGTCTTTTTCTCCTTCCTATGTAGATCCATATATATCTCTTTTGGGTCCTCTTTACTGTCTAAGTTTTCTGAGGTTATGGACTGACTGTAGATTGGTTTTTCTTTGTTTTATGTCTGAAAGCCACTTATGAGTGAATACATATTATACTTGTCTTTCTGGGTCCGGGTTATCTTACTCAATATGGTTTTTTCCTAGATCTATCCATTTGCCTGCAAATTTTATAATGTCATTATATATATTTTTTTCTGTGTAGTACTCCATTGGGTAAATGTATCGTATTTTCTTCATTCATTCTTTGGTTGAGGGGCATCTAGGTTGTTTCCAGGTTCTGGCTATGACAATATAATGCTGCTATGAACATAGTTGAACACATGTCCTTGTGATATGATTGAGCATCCAACAGTGGTATTACTGGGTCTTGAAGTAGATAGATTCCTAATTTTCTGAGAAATCTCCATTCTGATTCTCAAAGTAACTGCACAAGTTTGTACTGTCACCAGCAATGGAGGAGCATTCCCCTTACCCCGCATCCTCTCCAGCATAAGCTGTCATCAGTGTTTTTGATCTTGGCCAGTCTTACAGATGTAAGGTGGAATCTCAGAGTTGTTTGGAATTGAATGTCTCTGACGGATAAGGATGTTGAGCATCTCTGTGAAGTCAGTTTTCTTCTTCCACATCTGTGTGAGTTTTGGGATCAAACCAGGTTCATCTGGTGAGCCATCTGTCACCTCTTCTCCCTTTTGAATCAGGGTTTCATGTAGCCCAGGCTGGTCTCAGGCTTACTGTCTAGCTGGGGATAACTTTGAACTCCCGATCCTCCTGCCTTCACCTCTCAAGTGCTGGAATTGCATCTGGGTGCCATTGCATTTGGCTTATGTGATAGCAGGGATGAAACCAAGACTTCAGGCATTCTAGGCAAACAGTCTACCAATGATCCACGTGCCCATTTCCCCAGTTTATGTTCTTAAAACAACAAAGGTGATGGTGATAGATGCTGGCATGGCTGTGGTCCAGAGGAGGCCTACAGCTGAATATAGTATCAGAGTAGCCCAGGGTCTTGGTCAGCCATACCCACTGAATCTCCTTTAGTGAGGTTAAACTGCACCAGGTGAGCAGGGGACCATGCTGCTCAGGTGTGGATGGAGAGGTCAGGATAGCTCCTCTTTAGAGATGGTCCAGCAAATGAAGGCCTGACAGGCACCCTCAAGGTGACCCCTTGTCTTCACATGACTCCGTTGGGAGCTGTTGAGACTCCACATCTTTTGACATTCTTTCTAACCCCCGGAGAAAGTGCTGGCCAGGAGTAAGTTTGCCAGTAGATGACCAGCTTGTTCTACTCGGAACCTGGGAAGAAGGGCAGCTGGCGTGGACAGTAGGTAATGGGAGTGGAGGTGGAGACGGGACAATGAGTCCTGACTTTTTCCAGGACCAGGGGCATCTGGGAGAGTATAAGGGAGGCTGTGAGGTGTGAGACTCCCTCCCCTTCCTGGGCATCCTTCTGTCCTTCCACCCACTCAGGAATTCAAGCCGGTCTGCTCTGTTTATTCAGCTATCCAGCTTCTCTGCTCCCTACCTGCCCCTGGAGGCACTTTTTGTCCAGTGGTTACCAAGACCCTGGCAGCAGTGCTGGTTTTTCCAGTTGGACAGGGAACGCCCTGCAGAGCCAACAAACCCTGTGCCTGGGGGAGAGAGAATGGTCCCCAGACACATCCTGGCTGTCTCTGGTCTGTCAGGCTGCATTCCTCAGTGGCAGTGTGTGTACACCCCAGGACACCGGGATTCCTTTCCAACAAAATGAGTGACTGTTGCAAACTGAGCCTTGGCAATGGCCTAGCCAGGCAGAGTAGGGGTTTGGTGGTGGTACCTGACCTTCTCAGGGCTCTGTTCCAAAAGGCACAGGGAACTGTGGTGGTGATAAGAACAGTATTTTGCAGAGGGAAGAAAGCCCTAAAGCAACTACAAAGCAAAGGACACAATCCCAACAGGACAGGGACAGGGAGGGGGAGGAGGAACACCTGGTTTCTTAGGCATTGTCTCCTTTAAGCTCTTCCCTTGTGTCAACAGAGGTCAGGTCCACTGACCATCCGCCCTATCCTGGCTGGGCAGTTAGCATAACAAAATATATCAAAATTAATAAAACAACTATAATGATTTTCTCAACTTATGCGATTGGTAGCTTGCTAGCTGGTTTGTTTGTTTGTTTGGTACATATTGTTGCCCTGAATTTACAATTCTTCCTGCCCCGTCTCTCAAGGACTAGGAGTAACTCTGGGCCAGTATCACCACACCCTGTTTAAATTGCATTTATCTCAGAAATGCAAAAGTCTAATTTATCATTTTAAAATTACCTAACAATATAAACAATCCTTAGAAGTGTCATCTATCAATACTTCTAGCAAATGCTGTGCTGTGATTCTAGGCAATTGAATGATTAAAAAAAGATAAGAAAAGAGAGATTCAGAGAGGGAAGAAAAGAGAGGTAGAG